AAAAACTTTGGAACTCTTTTCTATATCTTCTGTCAGATCCCACATTGAACCTTCACCATGTCCTGTTGTTTCAAGCTTTGAAATTGACCCACATTTTGATCATGTCTTACTTCTTCTATGAATAATCAGCTGCCATGATCTCTTTGGATTAATGAAATGACCTCTTAACTGATACTGTCTCTGGTTGTCATTTTTAAAATCTACTATAAACATAATAATCATAGTGGACCTTTTAAAATAGTTCATATTTTAGCATAAATATTTGTGTGTTAAAAATATTTCTTAGGTAATTCTTTAAAAAAAAAAAAACCATAAAAGCTTTATCTGGTCTGGCACTCTGTTCTTCTTGACCACTCTCTCTTGCACCCAGCCACCCACTGTGTTTTAGCTGCCCTGCCCTGCCTGCTCCTCCTACTCATCAGGCACACACTTACCTTTGGTTCTCTACCATTGTTCTTCCCCTCTGCCTGGAATGTCAGTGCAGTCCTCCTTCTTCTCCGCAGAACTGTCATCTTCCATTGAGATCTTCCTTAACTCCCCTGCTCAGAATGGCACCTGTCTCCTCGCCCAAGCCAGCTCTACAATTCCTGTCTCCTTTTCTTGCCTTATTTTTTATTGTCTTTATCATTCTCTTCCATAGCATGTGCTATGCTTTGCTTTTTACCTGCTTTCCCCTAATATAATAGAGACTCCATCACACCAGGCCATAAGTCTTAAACTGAGTACAGTAGTCCCTCCTTCTCTGTGGTTTCATTTTCTAAGATTTTGGTTACCCAGAGTCAGCACAATCTAAACATATTAAAGGGAAGACTCAAGAAATAAAGAATCCGTAAGTTTTAAACTGAACACCATCTTGACCAGAATATGAAATATAGTGCTATCCTGTCTTGCACAAGACAAGAATCATTTGTCCAATGTATCCTGGATATATATTCTACCCACCTATTGGACACTTAGCAGATTGAATGTCAAGGTACTTATATTCACGTAATCCTTGTTTCACTCAATCATTGCCCAGAAGTGCAAGATTAATGATACTGGCATTCAGGTATGTCAGAGAAAAGCTATAAACTGCTTCCTTTTGGTAAAAAGGCAAATGTTCTAAACTAAATAAAGGGAGAAAAATTCAAATGCTGAAGTTGCAAATATCTATGATAAAAGTAAATCTTTTGTGAAATTATGAAGAAGGAAAAAAATTTGTGTGTTTCTGTTGCACCTCAAAGTGCAAAAGTGAAGTCATAGTTCATGGTAAGTGCTTTGTTAAGATAGAGTAGGCATTGCTTTACAAGGTTCAGTACAGTCCTTGCATAGTTTAGTTGATTCTCTAGGGATATTGGGACACACCATAAAAGTGAACTACTCTATTTCCAAAACCACATCAGACTCATGCTGATTCATCTCCTGTTTCTTTCACAATAACATCTATTCTGTGACCTTAGTTTAAGACAAACTAGAGGCACTCATGAAGTCACTCCCAAGGTCAATGGACTCAGCAGCCTCCTATACTCTCTGCAGCCTACTTTTGCTGTCCTTGCACTTGAACAGAAGCTTCCTCAGGCTTACCTGATAGGATTCATTGCAACTTCCAAGCCCTGTAACACTTGCGTGTTTTGCACATGCTGATTTTCCTGTTGCTTCTTCAGGTTTCACTCAGCCTTTTCTGCTCAGTGTCTTCTGTGCAGAGTTCTTTGTACCCTGTGTGTCTCATCCACTGTTTTTGTTGTACATAGATCTCCTTTATGTACTACATTGCAAGAATGTTGGCTTACTTAGCTTTGATCCACAGGGCCTGGGTTCCGTTATTCTGCCCTTAAAATGTGAGGCTTTCTGGTAAATACTATGTTCACTTATAGAGTAAATGATAAGTGTGTATTGATTGACTTCCCACAGACCTATCACAATTCTTTTTCTCCATGTTTATCACTTATAAGTCCTAATAAGAAACTTTCTGCCTTTCTTTTCCTCCAGCTCCTCTCCCATTTGCTTTTTCGGGGCTTAGTAAATGATCCCATATATTTAGTTGGCTTTCTTATCATCTTGCTTGCATGAAGCATTTGCTTTCTTAGTCATCTACTTTTCATTTCAGTAAGCCTGGAGATTTAGTTCCACAGAATCTTCCACATCCACAAGAGATAGTTTTGCTCTGTATTTCCTTAATCCACCCTGCCTGTGAGTGCAGTTTTTATGACTCCTTCATTCTTTGCCATATCACGTATTTGTCATTGTTCCCTGCTCAAAAGTATAAACTTAGAGTCTAGTTAGTATCACAGAAAATACCTCTTTCCTAATTCACTGGTATTGCTTACTTTGAAAACTGCCCTTGCCTTCAACAACCTCCTTGTTCTCCAAATATTTGTGTTAGTTTCTGGTGACTCTCACTTCTTTCTGTCCTACACAGAAGATGTTTGTGACCCACTGCTTATGTGCCACATGATAACTGGGCATGCAGGAAATTTTCAAAATAGCAGGCCATAGAGAATTTAAAATGGAGTATATACATTGTTTTAAAAAATAACTGGGTATGGTGCTATACTATGCATTCCTAGAACTCCAGAGGCAGAGGCAGGAGGATCAAGAATTTAAGGCCAGTCTGGGCTCTTTAACATGTTCAGGGTCAGTGTGGACTACAGTGAGACTCTGTCCCACAGACCAAAATGAATAAATAATACTTTAGACCAGTTCTGATATGCTTTATATTACTATGTAATATGGTTGTGAAAAAATAACCAGTACCTCTGTGTTTGTCATGGAGCTTTTACTGCATGGAATCATTTCATATTGAAAGAATGTGTTATGTTAGCTGCTAAAGATTTGAAAATGCTCAATGATATAATGTTAGGTCACAAGATCAGCCAAGCTCATTCTACCAGAATGATGATTGTTGCTAGCACTCTATATCCAGTAGTGGTATTAGACTGTCTGTCTGTCTGTCTGTCTGTCTGTCTCCTCTCAGCCCCTTTCTCTCTTTCATGGAGGGGTGCAAGAACATAAGCTTCTCCCTTTTGTCACACTTGAGTGAAGCTATTTGTTGTGGCACAGTTCATTGTAATAACAGTCAAGACTGTCTTGATAGAGCATCCATGCATACTGTACTGTTGTATGGAATAGGATAGTATACCATAGATTAATATGTGTCTACATCATTATATGGGTCTCCAAGGAGATTGAACAAAAAAACCACAGTGCCAAACGAATTAGCTTCTACCATTATATGTATGAGGAGCCCTGTATATGCAGGTATGCACACATTTATGCAGTTTATTTGGAAGAATGCATGAGATGCTAGTGGCCTTCCAGAAAGAGACCTGAGGTGCAAAGAAACTGTTGATGGGGAGGGAACTCACTTTTTACTATGTTCTCCTTGATTACATTTTTAAAAATAATATATCCATATTAACCTCCCAGTATGCCCACCTGCCTTTTTCTTTACTTCCTTTCTTCCTTCTTTCTTTCCTTCCTCCCTTCTTTCCCTTCCCTTCCCTTCTTGCTTCCTTTCTTTTCATTTCTTTTGTTCTTCCTCCTTGTCTTTCTTTTTGTATTTCTTTCATGCTGGAAATCCATCTAAGGCATTGCATGTTAGCCAAATGTTCAACTACACCCCCCAGCGCCTTTTAACAAAAAGATGCTCCATTTTTTCAGTATCTTGTGATGATGCATGCAAAAGTAGAATAGCCGTCCCCTGAAATTAGCATAGCTTTTCCTTTACCCTTCTTCCCTCATTCTCTTTTTCTTACAGTCATTGTGTATATGGTTGGCAACTTTGGACAATAGAAGAAATACCAGCTTTGCAGTCAGATCAAACCTGTGTCTATACCTACTATCTTTTATAATAACTCCCTTTGTTAACTCCTAATCGTCTCATCTAGGTTGTGGGAATAATAGTATGTCTGGTGCAGATGTTTTTAATAAGGATTAAATAAGGAAATGTACTATGAGTTAGTACTGATGGGCATGGAGTAGAGGTTCTGTGTATGATCTTTGTTTTTATATTTATCAGATGCTATGCTACTTGTTCAGATTTAAAGTCCCTGCTTTTCCAGCTATTATTATAGTTGGGCCATTCTTAACATTTTTGTTTCCCTGGGTATGCTGCAGTGGAACATGCCTAATTTTGGGTGCTGCCTTAACTCATAGAGTATTTAAATCTTTTAAATAAAAGTGGTGTTCATTGCCCTCTTCCTTGTGAATGGGAGTTTACTGATACCTTATGTGTGTGCATATTTGTATACTGGGGGCTGATCAGACCCACAGTGCAAGGGACCAGAAGGAACCTGCCTCTAATGGACAAGTACAACAGTCTTCAAGATTGACCCACCTTTTTTTTTTTTTTTTTTTTTTTTTTTTTTTTTTGTCTTTTTCCTTTTTATCGGTACCAGGGATCGAACTCACGACCGCCTGCTTGCAAGGCAGGTACTTATGCCGCTGAGCTAAATCCCCAGCCCCAACCCACCTTTTGTGACTACTTTTATTAGCAAGGGAGGAGCACAGAAGAGGGGGTGTACTTTTCTTGGAACACCAACTGTAGTGAATAGAACAAGTTAATGGAGAGCAGGTTCTTTCCTATATCCACATGTGTGTATTCTTTAGATTGTCCTCAGCAGGCATTACATTGCCTTAGGGGTGCTACAGTTATGAGCCTTCCCTGCACAGCCAGAAAGCAGACAGCTTCCACTTACTTCTCTGTCCCTAAAGTAAGGTTACATTGACCTCGAGACCACAGGATCCCAGCCATATAGCCTGGTCGCTAGTATAGTAAAATATTACTTCATATTCTCTAGCCCCCATCATTATGTGTACAAGCGTATAGTGTGTATGTTGAATATTGTATTTTGTTTACTTATGGAGCAAGATAGCCACAATTATACCCATCGTATGGATTTGACAGGTCAAGATTTAGTGATAATGACAACATGCAAACCCATTTCTAATGCAAATATATCGTATAGGTAAAGGTTGATGGTTAAGGTATCTGTTTTATTATGTCTTTTTTTCTTTTTTAGCTGTTTCAGTCTCAGATGGCATCAAAACTTTCATCCATGCCCTCACAAGTATCCAGTGGTGAACACAGGGTAAGTCTACCTTTTGTACAGATCATTTTGTTCTCTCATTGCCATGATTTCAAAATAACTCAAAGGATTTGCAGAAATTTATGGAAGAGGCTTTTGTTTATGGTTACCTTGACTGTGAATTAATTTTTCTGTTGATTGAAATGAAGCATCAATTCAGTGTTGTTTATTCATTATTAAATATTCACAATATTCCTATCCTATTTGACATTAAGCAGCCTTTTTCATTTCTTTTTCACTTTGGGGGATCTGTTTTTGGCATTATGCAAATTAGAATTTCAGGTGTCTTAACAGCATCCTATAGAAAGACTAGCACTGTTTTTTGCTAGGTACATCACAAACTGTGGAAGGCCAGAGAGCTGTGGGTGTCAGAGTACAGAGAGCCACTGGGTGGCCCCAGCCAGTGCTACCTGCTGTGAGATTAGATCTGATGCTTCCAAGGATCTTTTGAGTTTGTCTGTGTCGCAAGAATGGTTTTGGTAATTCATATTAAAGGTTATATTTTAAAAGCTGGTAAGTTTAATTTGATCAAAGAAGTATGTTGTTCATTGAAACAAAATTGCAAGCCGAAGCGTGTTAATAAAATTGACTAATTTCCTTTAATTCTGTGTTCCAATAATTATAGTTTCTTCATGTTTCTCTCTCATCTTCCATATATGCCAAGATCCCCACAGTTTTGATAAATCTGAATGTAACCACCAGACTGCCATCCTCTTCTCTCAGTAATTGGTAATAAAGTCTCATCTATCTTTATTACTTTGCAGACTTTTTGAGATACTCTTCATCTGCCTCCTAACTCATTGCTTTGCTACGGTCAGTCTCGTCTTTGCTGTCTTCATTGACAGATGTATGGGGTAGCTATGACTTAATTTCATCTCCTCTGCATTTAAATAACGGAGACCACACCTTCATTTTTTAAATGCTTCTTTTGGGCCTGTGACATTAAAAACGTAATTCTATACAGGCAGGGAATTCTAGAGGCCATTTAGTTTAACTTTGATGTAAAAAAAAAACCCTTAGCAAGCATTGTAATCTTGAATATACTTATGGGAAGCATAGTGCTTTTTTATTCACTCTTTGTAAAAAATGATGACAATGATGTGCTTACCTGACAAAGAGTGTCACGGGTCACTAACGATGTCGTATAGCAATCTGTTGCTGCATGACACATTATTATGAACTTCGCTGTTTTAAACAGCTCCCAATTCCGCAGATCAGAAAGTTAGGCACAGCCCACAATCTTTCTGCTTAGTCTATTGCCCGTGGTGTCAATGTCCAGCCTTCTTATGTGGGCCTGCCTTTCCAGGCTCTTTCATGTTATTGGCAGAATCTACCTCCTTGCGGCTTGGGTGTCATCAGCTTATAGAAACCATTCCTGGCCCCATGCCATCCCTCCTGGAAGCTAGTGAGGAAGAACTTGCCTTAGGTCCTCTTTAGGTTTCATATGTGTCCTATTCTTTCATTTTCTTCTCTCCTATCTTTCTTTGGATCAATATTTTTATCATTCCATTTTATTTCCACTATTTATTTATTAGCTACCACAATTTGTCTTTCAAAATAGTAGTTGATCTTATTTTAATGATTTAAAATTCTCCATTTTATGAGCATATGTACCATAGTTTCTTTGAATATTTTCCTATTTTAGAACACCAAATATTTTAATGTTATGAATTGTGCTGGACTGTTGTTGTTGAAAGGGGATAAGAAAAGTGTTTTGGGTTTCTAAATGAATTCTCAAAATTTACTTAATCACTTGTATCCCAGGTGAGGGATAATGATTATAAACTCTCTAATCTCTTTCATAAATTATATGTATCCTTTCAAGTATACATATGTCCTATTTCAGTCAAGTAATTTTAATTGTTGCTCTCAATTTGTTTTCCTTCAGAAAAGAGAAACTATTCGTTCCTTGACTATGTGTGGCCACGTTGGTTTTGAGAGTTTGCCTGATCAGCTTGTCAACAGATCCATTCAGCAAGGCTTCTGCTTTAACATCCTCTGTGTGGGTGAGTGCCAGCAACCCCTCTTGAGCATTTCCCTCAAGGGCCTTGAGTTCACTTACTCTCTGTATGAATAATATGATGTTCATGTTATCAGTTTGAGATCGTATCATGGTTCCAAGCATTTTCTCAGTTTAAATTCTATTAGGTTTTTTAAAAAAAGACTTTAAATCATTTGTTCTGTAAACATTTTAGTGTTCTTGAGCTCTGAGTAATTTAGCATTTCTCTGGTCTGCTAATGATTTAAGGACAACCTTAGCATTAAGACAATCTAATCTTTAATGCCTTTTTTTTTTCAGGAGAGACTGGAATTGGAAAATCAACACTGATTAATACATTGTTTAATACTAATTTTGAAGAGCATGAATGCTCACATTTTTGTCCTGATGTTAAACTTAAAGCCCAGACATATGAACTCCAGGAAAGTAATGTTCGGTTAAAATTGACCATTGTGAATACAGTGGGATTTGGTGACCAAATAAATAAAGAAGAAAGGTATGTGGTTTTGGGGGTTTTTTGTTTATTTGTTTTTTATTTTTTGTGGGTGTTTTTTATACAAGAAAACAAGTTCTCTTATTTCAGGATCAAGATATTTGTCTTCTTGCCCCTTAAACTGTGATTGAGATTCCTTATAGTAATAATTTCCTTCCAGAAATTTATTATTTTTAAGAATTAAGAGTATTTTGTTATTAACAAATAGACACCTTTATATACAGTTGTCTAATTTCTTTGAAATAGTTAGATTCACATTATTAAAATATGTATTTTAGAAAAAATAGTTTTAATTATTTCCTGATATTCAGTATGTATTCAGACAGCAACTTGTTTGCGAAAAAATAATACAAGATATGAGAGCAAGTATATGCAGTGCCCAAAAACATGATACATTAATTTTTTTGGCTAAATTCTGACTAAAATATTTAATAGATTGTAACTGTATAGGTTTATACAGTTAAATAATGTTTATACAGTTAAAATAAATTTTAACTTGCTTTTCCACATTAATTTATTTACTGGACTGTTTTTTATTAGTTAGCAAAGTAATATATTGAGATTTCATGATGCAATGGCGAGTAGAAACACCGCAACAACATTTAGGATTTGGAGGCAGATTTATTTACATCAGCAGGCACTGATGGGGATCGTTCCCAGAATATCAGGCCCCAATTTCTGGTGGTCTAGGACTTATATGGGATAAGCAAGCAGGAAGTACAGAGGCAGAATGACTTGCCATTTGGGGATTGGTTTATACAAGTGTCGTAGTAACCAGTTGTGCATCATAGTGACCAGCCATTCCTAAGAGATCAGAAGCAACCAGAAATGGAACAGGAATTATTTATTACCTGGGAAACTAAAACTCGCTGAGTGGGGAGGAGCAGTTTCTGTTACAGTGAGGTGGAAATGCCACCTTGTACAGGTCTGTGCCTGGCTACAGCCTGAGGTGCCCACTTCGAATCCTCAGAGCTTTCTATCTGTGCAACTCCTTTTTGTTCATTGTGCTGTCCACAGAGTCCATCTGTCCTAACCTACCTCACTCATAGATATCAGGTTACTGTCTCTCTTTGAACTCTGCCCAGGAAGCTTGTCTCCACACAAGAAGTCAAAGAAATTGTAGGGTTCCCTGCCTGCATTTCCCTTTTCAGGGATCACAGTTCTATACTTTCTGTTGGATTTTTCCAGGTATCTAGGGTAAGTCCATACCAGGTACTCCATTATGGCTGGAGACAGGCTTCATTTTTCCCTTGTTATGCTAGACTGCAGTGTGGAAGACTTGCATACTCCCATTTTAATGAGAGTATCCTTGCCCTGTCCTCATCCCAAAAGTAAATCTTTACTTTTTACATGTATTGTGCTTGCTTTGCTTTTAGTTTTTCTGGGTTTGGGTTTGTTTAGATAAAATAAGAAAATTCCTTCTATTTTACTAGCAAAAGTTGTGTTTCTTTAAAACTTATGAATAGATAAGTACATGAGGTGTTTTTTTTTTTAATGGAGACATTGTGATTCCTTTTTCTTTTGTTTAGTATTTAAAATTGAACCCAGGGTCTTGCACACACTAATAAATGTGAAGTATACCACTGAGCTATACTCTTATGCAGTGTGATTTAATTTGTATCCTAAAGAATGAGTAGTATAGACAGCCAGAGGAAAGATAGTGTTCTAGGGACAGGTTATCTAAACAAGGATTCAGGGAAAAGATTGTGATTGGCCTTTGTTTATAATTAACTGAAAATAAAACCATGCCAGCATTACCTGTTAGATACTTTCACATATATATGCCCTTCCTCTTTACTATATTAAGGCTTTTCATTACAAGGTGAATCTTTGACTTTAGTTGATAGCTATACCTTTTCTCAGTAAAACAATGTACTGTATACCAGTTTGGTTGCAAATTAGACTCCCATCTTCTTTGAGCAATCTGTCAAGTGTCAGTCCCTTTGTTAGAACACAACATGAATGGATGTAAGGGTGAATCATAAACTAGATACTATTCCAAGTATAGGTTGTCCTAATGGTTGGGTATATTACCTTTGAAATGCCTGTTCTACACATTATGTTTTATTGCTAAAGTTTTCTGTTTAGCATAGATACCAACTGCTTATTAATTGGTAAAAATGCATATCTCAAACTTGATAGTTATACACATATCTTGGAAAGTAGCATAGATATATGTTGCATTGTATTTAAAGAATGATCTTTTCAGCTACCAGCCCATAATTGACTACATAAATGCTCAGTTTGAGGCCTATCTCCAAGAAGAACTGAAGATCAAGCGCTCTCTCTTCAACTACCATGATTCTCGCATCCACGTGTGCCTCTACTTCATCACCCCCACAGGCCACTCTCTGAAGACACTCGACCTCTTAACCATGAAGAACCTGGACAGCAAGGTGGGGTAGGAAAAGAATCAATTTACTGAACTCCAGTGTGTTTGTGAACTGTTAAATTATCTTTGTGATAGATGTGTATAGTATGTATAATAGCTATATATATATATGTATACATAGTTGAAGTACCTTTTATTCTGTGCAACTTTACAACATCTGATAAGTTTATATCTTATTTTCTAGAGTAATTAAGTATGGAAAATGAGATACAAAGAAGAAACATTAAAATAGAAACTTAACTTCTTTTTTAGTGCTTAAATTGCATTCCAGGTCATGACTATTCTCTACATTTTTTAATGCAGGCTTTATTTGACACAGATTTCACTTCATGACACTGTTAAGTAAGAAGAACTTCACTGACCAAGATTAAGTGTAATGTTTCACCCCGTGTAAAAGTGACGTGTTTTAATTTGGACCAGACCAAGAAACCTATTTTTCAATTTTTTAAACCAAGGAGCTATGTATAAATTTAGAGAGCTATTTAAAAATTTCTATTCATTAGCTCATTTCAGATTCTTACATTTGTTTCAAAGATGGGTAAAGACTAGTTATTATTTTACATTAAAGGAAAAATCTCCCATAATCTATAACGATCTGAGAAATGCAACTTTCATAACCTTGTCTACTCATTGTATAAATGAGTATTTAAAATGCAAGAGATTTGTTGATAAAAATGGAGATGGAAAGTATGAGGCCTGCTAACAAAATGTAAGCACATAGGCTGATTTACTTTTGGCACAGTCCCTGGAATTTAGCAAAACTTGATGAAGCTGGTATGACAGATATGTTTTTTTAGTGGATGTTTGGGAACCAGTAGAAGAGAGAATAAGTACTTGTCTCATGCTCCACCCTGCAGATTCTTGTACCACCTAGCTAAAAGTTCATAATGTACACCATTAAAAGCTGTGAAAGACCTTTCTAACAATGTTTTATTTCATTCAAACAAAACTGAAGTGTTTTCTGGTTACAGTACAAGATCATCTACCTCATGCACCTGCTTGATTGTCACTACCTTTTTCTGCTTTATTCAGTTGGTGGGGGAGAAATGAAATTGGGCTCCCTTATCATAATATTTCCTTTAGCTTTCTGTTGTGCAAACCAAATAGGAGTATTATAACTAATCTTTCTTATAGGTTTAAGGAAAAAATTGAGATATGCCTCAGTTACTTCATTTACCACTTAATATATGGATATACAGTACTATGTACCCAGAAGCCACCTAACAGGTATAGGGACATCCTCCTTTGTTGCACAAAGCAGTGGATAATGTTAGGTCCCCAGGCATTCTCCAGACCATTCTCTTATGTTCTTAATGCCAATTACTTGACTACTTGACTTAGAAAGTTACTTTATTCTATACAAATGGAGTAAATGATCGTCTTGGACGACATCTATATTTTTCCCTCCTTGTGAGGTACATTTAAACAGTGATGTTAAATGATGTTAAATGATATTAAATGATGTTAACAGTGATGGCTAGTGATGTTACTAGCCAATCTCCCACAGTTTATTGTGAAAGTAATTATTAGTTAATAACTTGAATATCTAAGTAGAGACATTGAATACCTAAATAGACAATATTGAAACCAAGGACTTGCCATGAAACTTTGTATGTATAGTGAGCAATTTAACATGTGACTTGTTTACTCATGATTATTGGAAAATTTTCTGCCATTAATTTCATAAATAGTTGGAAAAATATTTACCTCCTTTGGGCCACGTGGAAAACCAATGCATTCAAATAGCTACACTGAAACAGTGAAAATGAATTAAACAGAAAAACTTAAGGATAAAATAGGAATTATAAGTATTACTTTTACTTTTATTATTCTGAAAATTGCATTGTCATCTTACTCTCTGTCTTTAGTTTTCTCATTACTGGAACAAAATACCAGATATCCAAAGTTAAAAGAGGGAAAGGTTTATTTAGTTCACAGTCTGTACAGGTTTCAGTCTATAGTTGACTGACTCTAAGACAGGGTGACATAACAAGGAACATTGCAGAAGAAAACAGGTTGTGGTGGGGAGAAGGCAGCAAAGCAGTGAAGTAGCAAAGAAACAGCAGCAAGTGACAACAATAGCCCTCTTTTTGTCCCTTATAGTCTATACGGCTACATATCCTTAGGGCAGGTACCCCTCACACCCAGGGAGAGTCATTTCATTATCCATGCTCAGAACTATGCTAAACCAATCAATGGACTAATCTAATAATTGTACACACTTAATCCAAGCATCACATACTATTATCCAGCCCCACCTGAAAGCTCCACCCAGCACCACATGAGGTTTTGGGGAGACATCTAAACACAAGCCATAATACTCTCTTTGACACTTGTGACTGGTTAACCTGTGGTTTTTGACTGAAAAATAAAGAACAATCCCAAGTTGTGCAGACATCAGTGTTTTGTGGGACATTAATCTCTTACAGGACTAGATTTATTAAGTAAGTCAGTCTTCTCAATCCCGCCTCCCTTCCTTTCTGGCAGTGATGGGAGTTAGTACTTCTGAAGAAATTATTCCTTTGTATCAGGAACATTTTGAGTTGGTATTGGCAGAGTTTCCTTCCTGTGCCACTGAGGTAGGTGTCTCGTGACGATGGCATTCTGACAGGGGTGGAGTCAGGGATGAAACAAGTAGAAAAACAACCATCACCTGTTTCTTAGTTTTGCCAAGGGATTGGTTACCCTAATTAATTGGTGCTTAGATTACTAAGAAATAAATATTCTTAGTGAATTAAGGAGCTGTTTTCCTGTTTATTCTACTTTACTTATTTTACATATCACTGAATTGTATAAGAGTAAAAAGCAGTGAGACTTTTTAGTATATGTGCTGGCAAAGTAAGCACAAAAAAATTGAGACTTTAAAACCTAACCTTAACTGAAAGATTACTCCAAAAAGAGCTCTTCTTTTTTTTTAAAAACAATTATTATAAGCCCCACATCTATAGAAATGATTGTGCAGTGTGTGTGTGTGTGTGTGTGTGTGTGAGAGAGACAGAGAGAGAGAGAGAGAGAGAGAGAGAGAGAGAAACAGCCAGGATCTGTAAGGGTCAAAGGGATGTGCACTTCCTGCAAAGGACTAGGTAGTAAATACTTCCATGCCTTTGGACCATAGGTCTCTGGCAGCTGCTCATCCCTGCTGTTATAAATGGAAAGCAACAATGGATACTACCTAAATGAATGGGCTGAGTGACATTCCAGTAAATCTTTCTTAGAAGCCTGCAGCAAGCTGGATTATAATTCTCAAGTCCCTGATCTTGGGCAAAAAAATTTATTATCAGTGATTGAATGGTTTTGACCAGTGTGAATAATAACTACAGGATTAAAAAAACAAATCCTCAATTATGAGATTTTGTGTTTTTTTCTTGTTAATAGGTGAACATTATACCAGTGATTGCCAAAGCAGACACAATTTCTAAAACTGAATTACAGAAGTTTAAGGTGAAGCTCATGAGTGAGTTGGTCAATAATGGTGTTCAGATATACCAGTTTCCAGCCGATGATGAGACCGTTGCCCAAATCAGTGCTGCAATGAATGTAAGCTTCTTTTGAAATGCTAAGTTTGTTTCACATGTGAAAATAAAGCTATTTATAGCTAACATTTCTTGTCCATATCTGCCTGATTGGAGGTTTTGCTTCCTGAGGTTTTACTGACCGGTGGTCAACTGCAAACTTAAAATAATAACTGGAAAATTCCAGAAATAGATAACTCATAAATTTTACATTATGTGCCATTTTGAGTTGTATGATGGTATTTCATCACCTAGGTATTTTGTCAACTTACATCATCCCAAGAAGGGTGAATATAGTACAGTAAAGGATTTGAGAAATCATTTGACTTTTATTGCAGTGTATTATATCTGTTCCATTTTGTATTAGTTATTGTTAATCTTTTGTCATTTCTATTTGTGAATTCAATTCTTATGCATATATATGTATAGGGAAATTGTATGTATTGTCTCGTCAGGGTGGTAGACCACTCAGTTTGAGACATCCACTGGAGATTTTGGGCAGGGAAACAGCTGTAATATATTTTTACATGGGTCTTCCAGAAAGACTCCAAACAAGGTAAAATTTCAAAATTTCCAGAAGGGGAGTAAAACATTTTATTTTAAATTGGAAAGGAAATTTTTGAAACATGTTTTCTTTCTCCCTGCTTTCACTTGAATAAAGTGATATATTTGTGAGACTATATTTAATTGTGTGGAAAGGTGCCTTTCCTATTTGAACACATGGGAAGATTGTGCAGCCTACCGTGGAGTGCTGTAGAACCTCATATATTTGAGGAGTTTCTTGAATCTGGTATGTCAGTGTACCTGGGAAGCATCCACCTGTCTTTTAACTTAATATAATTAAGACAACAAAGGTCTTTATTTTACTTTTTTCATGAAAAGTGTGGTACTATTTTTTGTGTCTGGTTGTAGTTTGAAGGGTTATGGTTTTGGGACTTGGGGAGGTTGTGGAAGTTATTAATTTCTCTGAGACTAATAACTTGCATATAAGATTAGATAAGTAGTGCTCATTATAAGGGTTGTTGTGAGGATTAAATGATGTTCCATTGGTTATGTGTCTAATTGGAAAATTTCAGAAATAAATAGTTCATAAACATTCAGTTACTGTGCATTCCTTTTCTTTTCCTTTTTAATTTTTCATACTCCGTTTATATTAAGAAATTTAAACTAAATCTATGAAAACCTGACTTGTAAATGAAGTGGTCTTGATTCATACATGCTGAATTGTCTTTATATCTAATTTTATTTCTTGCACTCTCCTGCAATTGTTTTCAGAAAGATGTAATTTATTTCTAATAAAATAAACAGTATCAGTTAGTGAGTAGTAATTATACTACACTTTTTACATTAGACTTTTCCCCTGTATTGATCCTCAACTTCAAACAGACTCATTTGAGTTTAGCCCCTGACTCAAACTGTTGCTTCTCATTCAGAATTTCATACTTTATACTGCTTTCTTGATCCAGTAAATCCCATCCTTCATAGTGTAGTTTGGTTTATACCTTCCTGCTCCCAGTGATCTCCTCCTCCTTTCAGTTTTTGTCACTTTACTAGCATCATTTTGGAACTTTTTATGATGGTGATCAAAAATATGGTGAATGCTTAGTTGTATTTTTTTAAAAAATTATTATATTAAAAGATACATTGCCATTGAACCCCCTCCCAAAGGAATACTCCCCCTCACTTCAAACACACTTGCATTCTATCATTCTTACCACTTTCTGAAATAGTTTAGAAGTCTGAATCTCTGGCTGTCACTATATCCTGAATCAATTCAAAACAGTTATCTTTCATGATAATTAACTCTAAGAAAGAGCCAGATGTTGCATGGTGCCAGATCTGGTGACTAAGGTAAACGAAAGTGCGCTGTAATATTTTTAAGAATCTGCCTTTCTATTGGATGGTACAAGGTAACAGCATTCACTGTATTTTTTATCATACCTAATAAAGATACTCACCAAAGAAGACTTCAGAACAGTTTCTAAAAGTGATAAGAATATTCAAAACAAGGAGTATTTGAGGAGGATTAATAGCATGTATCTTTTACTGTGATAATTTTTTAATTTAAATATTCACTGTATGTATTGATCACTTATATATTATTTTGTATTAGAACTATATATCTGCAGATACTAAATACAGATATATATTATATGTACTATATAATATATATAATTCTTCAGCATAATCTTTGTCTTCTAAGGCACACACATACTGCTGAAAACAACACCTATGCTAAAATTCTCTGACTTTGTATTCTCTACAGTGTTAGTGCCTTTCATGTCAAAGATGCTCAGTAGGATCCAGGAATGATTCTTATAGGACAGTTAGCATATATCCAAGGCCAAGATTTAAAATATGCAAGTTATTTGATTTTAATAAATTTTTCACTTTGTAAAATCAGTTTTAGTTGGTCAGCTGTCACATTATTATGTCATGATGAGCTTAACTGATATCATGGTTCCTTTTTAGGAACATTTGCCATTTGCTGTTGTGGGAAGTATGGATGAAGTAAAAGTTGGAAATAAGATGGTCAAAGCTCGCCAGTATCCTTGGGGTATTGTACAAGGTAAATGACGTAGCTAATGACTTGAAAATATTTATGTTGCCTTAATTAATTGTGTGTACTAACTATTTTTTGTTGCTAGGACAAAATACCTGATACTACAAATTAAAAGAGAAAAGGTTTACTTTAGTGCACAGTTTGTAGAGATTTCAGTCCTTAGTTGGCTGGCTCCAAGGCAGGGTGACTTGGTAGAGGAGAAACAGTCCATGGCAAGGCAGGCAGAAAGCCAGCCTCCCTTCTTTCCCATTTCATTCCATCTGGGCTATAAGCCTCTTGGATTGTGCCACCCACACCCAAGATGAGTCTTCCCTCTTCAGTAGGTCCATCATTGACACCCAGAACTATGCTAAACTATTCAGTGGTCTAATGTAGGGTTACACATCATGATTCAGTATCACACACCCATGGTCCAGTCACTCCCCAAAGCTCCACCTATGTGCACATCTAGATATTAGCCGTAACACCTAGCCATCGCAAAGTTACCTTTAGTCCATTCTTTGTGGTGATGCTTGTGTAGGGTTGTCAGAGGGCTTGTCTGCATATTGTTCAGTTGGATCTGTAGAGGGAGGCATAACACCCCGTCTGCCTTGTATGCTCATTGGGCCATGCCTCTGTTCTTCTCTAAGTGGGCACTTTGATCAACATTTGAACTTCTTTTTCTTTTTCTTTTGTTCTGAAGACCAAACCAAAGGCCTCATGCATACTAACTAGGAAAGTGCTCTACCATCAAGCTATATCCCAGTCCTTGTTCAAATTTGAATTTATAGTGTTAGATATGCTATATAAGGTAATTACCACCATAGGGCACATTAAACCATCTTATAAACTTAAATGTCTCTTTCTGATCAAAGTATTGCCAAACTGTTTCCAAAACAAATCTATCAGCCAACTTAAAGTTAAATCTGCTTGGCATTTGGATTATTTATCTGGCATTATTAGTGAATAATTAGTATTACCTGATTCATTTGATTGCCCCTGCTGGCATCCAAATAACTTTTTTAAAATTAAACTATTTTTTAAAAATTAATATGCAGTATTGAGATGATGCAAAACTTTTAATATGTTAAAAATATAAAATGGGAGGCTGAGGCAGGAGAATTGCAAGTTTGTGGTCAGCCTGCACAACATGACAAGATCCTGTCTCAAAAACATAAAAAAAAAAATAGTTGCACTAAGACTCTGAATCACAGTTCTGTATTTATTTGTAGTCCTCTGGTCACTATAAACTTGGAAGGATGTGAACATATTCACTAACTGTGAATACTGTCTCACATGGGTTTATAAATGTAATATTGTAGGAAAAGAATTTGATAATTATTACATAGCAAATTACAGTTTACAGAATTTCCTATTTGAAATGAAGTGATATTATACTGTTTTGATTTGTTTTGTTTCATTTTGTTTTGTTTTGTTTGAGACAAGGTCTTGCTCTGTAATTCAGACTGGCTTTGAAATCCCTGTGTAACACAGCGGGACTCAAAGTCATGGCAGTCCTTATTCTTTAGCCTCCCAAGCACTGGGATTACAGGTGTGTACCACCATGCTTAGCAATGTAATCTTTTTTTAAAAGCACTGTATGAAATGTAGTGTGTTTATAAACTACTAAAAATGTTAGTGAAATAATCTCAAGTATATCATAGCATAATAAAATTTTTCTTTGGTATTTCCTAATTTCCTAATTATCATTGACTATTAAATTTAAAGCAAATCTTTGGTCTATTAATTAACATGGCCTGTGGTACAGTTTATATAATAGCAGTTTCTTCCTTGGTTACTTGTACAAAACAATTATAGTTATAAATCAGATGAATCATTCTGCTGTCAGTTTGCATGTGCTTTATTTGTTTGTTCAACAAATACCATTGAATATTGCATACGTTAAAATTCTGCATTTTTCTTTCTGGTTTCTTCCTGGCTAGTGGAGAATGAAAACCACTGTGACTTTGTGAAGCTGCGGGAAATGCTCATCTGCAAGAACATGGAGGACCTGAGGGAGCAGACACACGCCAGGCACTATGAGCTTTATCGGCGTAGTAAACTGGAGGAGATGGGCTTGACCGATGTGGGCCCTGAGAACAAGCCCATCAGGTAAGGGGATTTCTGGGCAGCCAGCCAAAGAGGGAGTGAGTGAGGGTTCCAACAGAGTGCCAGAATAATGAGGATAGGTTTTTAGAAATCCCTCAGAACTGTGAAAAAAATCATTAGACTGAATATTGTTCTTCTTGAATCACTTGACATCTTTTTGCTTGTGAAGGTTTTTAAATTTTTATCTGAATTAAAGGAGTAGAAGAAAGGATATATGGTAAAAGCCAACTACCCCAGTATTTTCTGACATAAATAACTGAAGTGTAAATCCTTGTGTTTGTATTTATCTGAAATATGTGAAAATATATTTAACTCTTGTTACACACAAAAAGTCCAAATCATATTAAATAACCTAACAGTCTGATAATTGGTTTTTATTCTAAAGAAAATTTTAGAATGACTGAAATTTAGCAAACACCTTGTGAGGGAAGAATGAAAATACTTGTAGATTGAGAGATTATTGTTTACAGTGTTGCAACATTCTTACCAGAATTTTAGGACCAAAGACCTTCTTAACCTTGCTATTTTATATGGTGAGATAGCCTGACTTTTTAAAATTAAAACATGTATACATGAAGTTCTAATCAGTACTAAGTCAGAGCTGATTTAAGGTAACATCTTGGAACATTTTTTGCATGAGATTTATAGGGTAAACACTATCTTAAAGTCTATTGTGAGACTGAGGACTCCTTTTCCATTGCACTATTTGTATTTGAGTCATTTTCCTACTGTTAAGACATGTGTGCATGTAAACAGAACCAGAAGCATGAGAATGTTCAGTCAGTACTGTGACTGCATTTGATCTTGTAGAAGAACTGATGATAGATGAAGTTAAATTTTAAATTTTGGTAGTGTTTTAACTTCTGCTAGATACTAACGTAAGAATTGTATGTAATTAATCCCTCCTCACCAAATTCATGCAGCATATTATATTCTGGTTGAAGACAAATAATTCTGGTAGACCTGATGATTTTTTTCATTTTACTGTATCTTCATCAAAGATTAATCATCTCAAGGTGGCTTCCCTAATGTTTCCCAAGTCTCAGGGTTTATTCAGAAGTCTGTGTTTTCTAACGAATACAAATCCTAGAGTAAGAAGGACAGCTTTGGAGACCTATCCAAGAAGAAATCTATCCAAGTTTCCTAGGGTTCATCAAGTATAGGGTAAAGAAATACAGAGTCAGACCTTGCAGGGATCAAAGCTAGCAGTCTACATTTTTAAATGCCCATTCAGTCATTTATCCAGTAATTATTATCTTTTGTCTACTCAGCATGCTTTCCAGGAGCTATCTATACAAATGGGTTAGAGAGACACAAACCCTGCCCTTGTAGAGTTCTTGGGTAGGTATAAGAGGAGGATATTTTTGTTGTACACCAAAATTGAGGCCCTAAGATGTTGTTCAAAAAATGGGGCAAGACGACTTTAAAAAGAAGCACTTTATTTTAGCTGGTACATAGAGGCACAGCCTACATTGGAATCTGCAGAGCTGTGTAGCCAGGTTAGGTAACAGGGGGGTTATAAAAGAAAAAACCACAAAGAAGAGAAAAGGGAGGGAGCTTATACAAAAGAGAGTTAATCTCTGCAAAATGTTTTATAACCAAGGGCGAATTGGTCCCAGGACCGTGTGTTTTATAATTAGTGGTGAGCAAATGTTTTATAATATAAGGGTCAGCTGGTTTTGGGACCAAATTGCTGTTCTGGAAGGGAGTAATTCAAAAGAAACAAGAGTTGAAACACAGGTCAGGGTAATGACACTTTACAGAACAGGATAGCAGTGCCTTAGCCAGGTTACAACATTCCCCACTGATTTTAGCCTGTGAGTCAAATCATTGACTCATGGAAGGGGCTTCAGTTAGGGATATCTGTCCATAGCCTTGTGTCCTTAGGATCATTAATTTAGCATACTGTCCTATTTTCATCCTCTTTTGTCTAATTTTTAGTGGGATCTTATTTAACGGAGCACGTAAATCTAGTTTAATTATCTCATGGACAGTGGTTGTCAGCATCTCACCAGTATTGTAATCAGTTATCTTCCAAGTCCCAAACTGAAGATTATGAGATGTGCCCCTGAAGTCTCCATAAGGGAGTACCCATAGGAACAAGACTATTAGGTACATTTGGCAATCTTAAGTTCTGGGGAGGGGGGGTAACAGTCCACTTATATGCAGGTCGATCGCCATCAGAGGCTGGGATCAGCTTGAAGTGGGAATGATGGAACTAGGCAGGTTTTCCAGCAACTTTTATGGCAGATGTAGTGCTGAGGACCACAGTGTAGGGGCCTTCCCACTATGGTTCGAGAGATTCTCGGTGATGTCTCTTGATGAGGACTAGTGTTCCAGGTTCCACTGCAGAGCATTCGTCCTTGGAATGGGCTGTAGGTGAAGGATGTCATTGTCTGAATAACTGGTGGATAGAAGTCAGAACTGGCTGAAGGGCCTGGAGGGACTTAATAAGATCTTGGTTAACTAGATCAGCTAGCTTTTCTTCAGAAATCTTAGGTATGTGGGGAAGGGGTGTCCCATATAGAGCCTCGAAAGGGGACATACCACCAATATAGGGGGTACGTTGCATATGCAAGAAGGCAAAAGGAAGGTGACTTACCCAATTCTTGCCAGTTTCCAAGCCCATCTTAGTTATTACCATTTTTAAAGTCTGGTTCATCATTTCTACTTGTCCTGAACTTTGAGGCCAGTAAGCACAATGGAGTTTCCAATCAATCTGCAAGGCTTGGGCCAGTTTTTGAGTTATCTGAGCTATAAAAATTGGGCCATTATTGGGCCCCATGGATAAGGGGAGGCCAAATTGAGGGATGATCTCATATAAGAGCCTTTTAACTATTATCAAGGCTGATTAAGACTTAGTAGGAAAAGCTTCAACCCATTCAGTGAAAGTATCCACCATTACTAGTAAGTACTTATACTCTTGAAGTCCAGATTTTCCCATCTCTGTAAAATCTATTTTCTAGTGTTCTGCAGGCATGATCCCATGGTAGTGAGTGCTTTTGATTTGTTGCTGTCACTTTGGGTTCATCAGTTGCTATTGGGGGCATCTGAGGCTTACAGACTGGTAAGCTTTGATAATTGGGAAATAAAGAAATGATCTCGAAAGAGAGCAGCAAGCTTTGATCCTCCCAGGTGAGTGGACTGATGGGCTTGTTGAATGAGTTCATGTCCCAACACCTCAGGGAAGAGGGCTTGCTTATCAGGCAGTTGGTACCAGCCCCCAGGGATATTGGGCTTTGCTTGAAGTTGAGCTTCCAGATGCAAGTCCTTTTGGGTGTAAATGGGCTCTGACAGAGCAGGGGGATCAGCAGTAATGTCAGAGCCACCTCAATCCCCATTGATTTTATGGCCACCTTTTGGGCAGTGGTTTCTGCCAGATGGGCCTTACAGTGGATGATAGCCACTTTCCTCAGCATCCAAATGGCAGCCAATAAATCTAAAATTTGGGGAGCATTTTTGATCGTTTGGCCCCCTGAAGTCAATAGACCCCATTCTTGATAAATGGCCCATCAACATGGGCAGTAGCAAATGCATATCTGCTATCAGTGTAAATGTTTATGTCTTTACCTTCTGACAATTTGGGCCCTCAGTGAGGGCAATGAGTTTAGCCCATTGGGCTGACGTTTCTGGCTCCAAGATTTATTCCCATAGAATCTGAGAATCTGTAGTAACGGCAGCTCCCACAACCTGCTTACTTTGATAAATGTAACTGCTCCCATTGGAGAAGTATGATGGAACTCCAACGAGGGCTCATCCATCAAGTCTAGTCAGAGTCCCATAAAGTGGTCAGTAACCTCAGTAGAGTTGTGGAGGGGCAAGGAGGGGTCATCATCAGGCAGCAGAGTAGCAGGATTTAAAACTTCTGTTTCCTTGAAACTGATAGTAGTCAGATCCAGAAGTAGTGCCTAATAGTGTATGACTCAGGAGTTGAACAGCCACCGGTTTGGTGGAGCCCTGATGAGGGTCTCCAGCAAATGAGAGGAGACAATTAGTTTCTGTCCAAAAGTTAGTTTTTGAGCCTCCTTTACCAGGAGGGCCACCAAGACAATCACCTGTAGACAAGGTGGCCATCCAGCTGCCATGCTATCAAGCCTCTTGGAAAGATAAGCAACAGGTCTCTGCCATGGTCCCAAACTCTGTGTCTGTACTCCTTTCACCTTCCCTCACCTCTCATCAATGTAGAGAGAAAAAGGTTTTTGCAGGTCTGGTAGCACCAAGGCAGGAGCCTCAGTTAAGGCCAGTTTCAGCTGTTTAAAAGCCTGGTCTTGAGAATCTGTCCACTCTAGAGGGTCCTGAGTGGTTCCCTTTACTGAGTCATAAGGAGGTTGAGCTATCTCAGCAAAATTAATAATCTAAAGCCTACAACATCCCATGGCTCCTAGAAATTTTTACACCTGCTTTTTAGTCACAGGGACTGGAATCTGTTGGATGACTTGCACCTGCTGGGAGGAAAGAGCCCACTTTCCTTCATGGACTTGGTAACCTAAGTAGGTCATATATTTTTGGCATAGTTGGGTCTTTTAGCAGAGACCTTATAGCCCAGCTCATCTAAGGCCTACAGAAGAGCTTGGGACAGTTCTTTCGCCAATTCCCCTTCTCTTTGCAATAAGAACATTGATTTTTATCTAGGGGCAGGCAAGACTTTGTATCTGGCTTGGTAACTTTTTCACTTAGCGCCTCTAACATCTTGGTCAGCTGTTGATCTTTTGGATCCTCACAGTTGTCAAATACCGTTTGAGCAATCTCTAATAACTGGCTAAGGGGCATTTCCTCAAATCCCTCAAGCTTCTGCAATTTTTGCTTAATATCAGGGGCCAACTGGGTTACAAAGGCAATAATAATGGCCCTTGCATATTTAGGTGCTATGGGATCTATGGGTGTATTAATGCAATAGGCCTCTTGCAGTCTTTCCAGAAACCCTGAGAGAGACTCATTAGCCAATTGTCTTACCTCTGAAACCTTGGACAAATTGGTGAGTTTTCTGGCAGCACCCTTAAGGG